ACTTCTCTAGACATTAATCATCTAACAGAAAACAAAAATCCTTGGCAAAGACCTTAATATGAAAGGCAAAACTACAACTCTCTTAGAAAAAGAAGTCTTTATATTGGTAAGGCAAGAAAATATTGATTACTACATTTAGATAGTAAAGTTTTGTTTTGTTTTTTCTGAGACAGGGTCTTACTATAGTTCAGGCTGGCCTTGAACTCACTACGTAGCCTAGGCTGGCTTGAACTGCTGGCAGTCCTCCTGCCTCAGCCTCCCAAGCACTGGGCTTACAAGCGTGCATCACCATGCCTGGCCTATACAGTGAAGTTTTGATCGAAGTTGCCATAAACAGAGTGAAAGACAAACCATAAAGTGGAAGAAGATATTTGCAATGCATATGACCAGGTAATTAATACTCATAATATAAAAACAATTTTTTTTATCAGCCAATGAGGAAAAGGATAAAAAGGCAATTTTTTTTTTTTTGTACTGGGGATAAAACTCAGGACCTTGCACTTGCAAGGCAGGTGTGGTGCCACTGAGCTAAATCCCCAGCCCGAAGAGGCAATTTTTTTAAAATGAACAAAAGACATTCACAGCCACTTCATAAAGAAAATATTCAAGATGCCAGAAAGTACGATGGAAAGATGCTCAATTTCACTGATCACCAGAATAATACAAATAAAAACAACATGGAGATACTATTGCATAACCATCAGGTTGGCAAAGATTGTATCTGACCGTCCAAGAGCCGAAAAAGGTGTAAAAGGAATAAGGATTACCAAGTAGTGCCAGTGAAAGGGTAGCCTAGAACAATCAATTTTGCAAAAACAGTTTACCATGACTCAGTAATCAAGTATGTTATATACACTATGGAAAGAAATGCTTATGTGCACCATGTCTGATGATAAGAAATACCACAATAGTCAGAAATTGTACACATCTTCAGTACTGTCAATTTGGGGCAGGGTATCACGCAGTGGTGAGTACTTGCCCTGCACAAGTAAGGCCCTGGACTAGATCCCCAGCAGCAGCCTCATAGATAACCAAGCTATGATTTAATTCTGTATTATGAAGCAACGAAATGAATGACTGCAGTTACATATAATACAGACAACCCTTATAAACATTATCAAGCAAAGAAGCAGCAAAACTGCATAAAGAATAACTGAATAAAATTCAGAAACAGGCACAACTAAACTACATATACTCATGTGGTAAACTATGAAAGAAACCAAAGGAATGACTATCATAAAAGTCAGGATAGTGACTGCCACTGAAGAAAGAGGGACCCCTGGAGTGCCAGCTAAGCCCAGCTCTAACATTTAAAGGGCCTATCAAGGATACAAAGACTCAATTATCACATGACTAAGTTTTTAAATATCTAAAAGATATACAACAAGCTTACAAGCTATTACATATGTTTTACCCTATCACAACAAACATACCTTTACAACTAACTGGAAGGCCTGATTCCTGGTGAGCATTTTTAGATTCCTTAAGAGTTCCATGCAGAAAAGTGGTGGTACAGGAAACAATGGCCGCTGGCTCACTGCCCATTGCTCCCTTCTACATACCGAAATGCAAGGGACCTCATTTCGAACATGGTTATCCTGCTTACAAGTCCAGGTTCTATCTCAGATCTTGCTCCCCATCAAAAGTGACTCTCAGGCCACCCCTTGGACCTCAGGGGGAATACACTGCAGCATAGTCCACCCTCAAAAGGTCAAATACAAGGGAAGAGACTCGGGCTCCAGAAAGAACTCAGGGCCAACTGGACCAGGAATTTGAAGATCCTGGGTACTCAAAGCACAGTCTAGGATATACAAGGTTTTAGGGTCCAAGTAGATATGTCTCACAGGCCCAGGATTCCTTTATAATACAAGGAAAAGGGGCATAGTCAGAAAAGGGCAAAAGCAGAGCCTCCTAAGACACAGGATCAGAGCAGGGGTCCTTGTTGCCAGGACTAACACTTCCATAGAATCAGGCAACATTATAATTCTGAACCTGGATAGTAGTAACATGGCCACTCGCTTTATACTTACAGTACTTGTTAAACCAAAGGTTTTATGCACTTTTCCCACAAATAATGGGACAGCTACCATATGCTTAATAATATAATCCACTGAGAAGGACACAAATCGCTTTTAAGATATTTCCACTGAGGGCCGGGGATTTAGCGCAGTGGTTCCACCACCTGCCTCGAAAGTGCAAGGTCCTGAGTTCGATCCCTAGTACCAAAAAAATAAAAAATAAAATAAAACACATACCAGGGAAGGAGGTTTTTTTAAAAAAAAAAAAAAAAAGATATTTCCACTGAAAACACATACCCTGAACTTAATCATGAAGGTACAACTAACAGATACAAGTCTAGGAACTTTCTATAAAACAGACCTAAGTTCTTCAAAAACATGTCATAAAAGGAAAAAAGAGTGGCAAATGATTTTAAACTGAAAGAAATTAAACAGATGTAAAAACGAACAGATTACCTAATCCTGCACTGGATTCTGGATCAGAAGGGAAAAGGATATAAAGAACATTACTGGGACAGTTGATTAAATGTAAATATGGACAACTGATATTGTATCAATGTTAAAATTTCTGATTTCAATAAACGGACCAGGGGGCTGGGGATTTAGCTCAGTGGTTCTGCCATCTGCCTCGAAAGCACAAGGTCCTGAGTTTGATCCCCAGTACCAAAAAAAAATAAAATAAATAAATAAATGGACCAGGGCTATGTAAGAAAATGTCCTCATTCTTAGACTATCCTAAAATATTTAGGCATGAAGGTCAGCTAACAATGTCTGCATTTTGTTCTCTAATTGGTTCAGCAAACAGAGTGTGTGTGTGTGTGTGTGTGTGTAGTGACAAAGCATGTGTGGCAAAAGAGTAACAGTAAGAAGCCAGGTGTGGTGGCACACACCTGTGATCTCAGCATTCTGGGAGGCTCAGACAGAAAGACTGCAAGTTCAAGTTCAGCCTGGGCAACTTAGTGAGTTAGCAAGACCTCGTCTCAAAATTTAAAAATAAAAATGGCTAGGGACATAGCTCAGCACAAAGACCCTGGGTTCAATCCCCAGTACCACCAAAAAGAAAAAGTGACAATAAGTGAATCTAAAGAAAGGACATATGTACTAAACTGTTCTTTTTTTTTTGGTACCAAAGATTGAACCCGGGTCCTTGTGCTTGCGAGGCAAGCGGCAGAAACACTGAGCTAAATCCCCAGCCCAACTAAACTGTTCTTAAAGCTTTTTCTTTCAAACTATTTTCAAAATAAAAAGTTGGGGAAAACTCTAAAGGGTTAAATAAGAAAAGTTTTCTGGGGAGAGGAAGTATCAGATGACTCAGATAAGGGAGTAAGATAAAGACTTCACACTGTTCATTCTTCCATCTCATTTGTGCCTTCCAAATTCTGTTCATATTCAGAAAAATTAATTTTAACTTCAGAGGAAAATCCTAAGATGCTGAAAGGGGAAAATATTACCAACTGCAGAGATTAAAAAAAAATTTTTGTCTTTGAATTTATCTGACAAATCATAGCTCTCATCAAATGGTTACTTGGTGAAGACAGCCCATGGAAGAGCTGCTGCACATACACACCTGGTTAACAGGTACAGTATTTCTCTTCTAAACTCAGTGCTCCTACTCTCTGTATACAAGAAGGATACCTTAACATGAGTATTAACCTTCTACTTCAAGATTAACCCTATGTTTGTAGTATGTTTCACGGCCTTCCTGAGATAATCCAGCAGGGACAGTTATTCACGTGTGCTATGAAAGCAAATTCCTTCACTTTAACAAGTATTGGTGAGGCTGTGCAAAGCACTGTAGGAAACACAAAGAAGTGTACAATGTAGTCATTGCCCTCAAGGAGGCAACTTAAGAGTGAAAAGGATCTGAAATAAAAATTCTGGCTATCCCACACACAGTTACAAGAACTTTGTAAGTTATTTCACCTTTCTGCAATTCTGTTTTCTCACAGCTATAACAGAGATCCCATTCAATTATCTTTATGGGTTATATTACAGAACTGACAACACACATGCCCAGCAGGTAGGATAACAAAACAACCGACAGTCAAATGTACCTATAACAATGATTATTGCAATCTAATTAAAATAAGAAAATAGAAAATATGACCAAGTTGTAAAGCCAATTAAGGGCACAACTATCATTAGAATCTTGATTACTCCAAGTTTCTTAGTGAGCAAATTCACTCTCCGTAAACACCAAATAATACAGGCAGGTGTTTGTGTGTGTAGACCAAGAGTCTCTGACACGTGGCAAACTGCATCACTCTCTTAGGTATCAAGGAAAAGCATATTACAGGATAAGGTTATTTTTCTCATTAACCAAGAAGGATTTTATGTCAAGAAGTGATATACACAGCCTGCACAAGACACCCTAACCTTATTTAAGACCCTGGTGTCCAGGAATACATATACAAATTAGACTAAAAGCTAAAGCCAAAGAAGGTGTTTCCTTTTACAGTATACTCTCCACGTTTCTCTTACAGCAGATATAAGGTTTGCTAAATTGTCCATTCAAATATCTCCTTTTAGTTTAGTGGCAGAGAATTCCCTTTCTGTTATTTTGTATCCTGTAACCTAATCCTAAACCTTGCTCATTAGAAAGGTGACAGTATTTCACACTAAAAAGACTTCCAGGGCCAAGGATTTAGCTCAGTGCTGCCGTGCCTGCCTCGAAAGTCTAAGGTCCTGAGTTTGATCCCTGGTACCAAAAAAAAAAAAAAAAAAGGTTGACTTCCCAGGCATCTGTGACAGATGGAAGACCCAATGATTACAATGACTAAAGATATACTTTGACTTAATAAACAATATTCCCTGTACTTTTATTCTCTATTCTTCCTGGGGTGATGTAAAATGATGTTGGGAGGTTAGAAATACTTAAAGTCAAGTAACAGTTTATTCACATTATTCATATAATGTCCCGTGTACATGTGTATCTCATACAATAAAGAAACACACTATATTATAATCAAACATGCAAAGTACCTGAAAGAGTGCCACCTGTCCTAGGATAGGCTACTTCCACATAAACTTCAAACATAGTCTCTGGATTCTGCCTACAAAAGAAACAGATTAGGATTATTGACAAAGATTGAGGCATCATGATGCAGAACGTATGGAGTATGGTATATAAGGTAGATCTTGATTAAAATCATTACCTCCATAACTTTATAGCCATGGAACTTTGGACAAGCTACTCAACTTCTGAATCATAACCTTCCTAATCCTCAAAATAAAAACTGCTAATCAGAAGAATTATTGTGAAACTTAACAAAAACACACACACAAAAAAAACTAAGCATAGGGTCCAGGATTTAGCTCAGTGGTTCCACCTGCCTGGCAAGTGCAAGGTCCGGAGTTCGATCCCAGGTACCAAAAACAAAAACTAAGCAAAACATCTGGCACATAACAAGTTAGCCATTACTATGACTAGACAAATGTCATATTTCTGATTTCCACGGCTAGAGCTCAAAAGCCATAGGGTGAACTTTGAGGAAACTCAGACAAAAGCAACAAAACACAAAACAGCCATTTCTGCCATATTCCAAGATCAAGCACTCATTTAACAAAATTAACCTGCTATTTATAGGTTTTTAAACCCTAAAACAAGAGACACAGTACCCTATCTCTCTAGACAGGATGTTAATTTAAATTTAAGACACTGTTCTCACATATGGAGCTCCACCTGTATTGGCAATGGCAAGTGTAGGAATATTCACTATTATATTATTTTACTTTTTTATATCATAAATATTAGTAAGTTTTTAAAAGATCACAGCACTAATGTTAATAGTTAATTCTAGCTGATAAGAATACTGTGGCTAGCCGGGGATTTAGCTCAGTGGTTCTACAGCCTGCCTTGCAAGCTCAAGGTCCCAAGTTCGATCCCCAGTACCAAAAAAAAAAAAAGAATACTGTGGCTATATTATCTTTGTCTATTCCCTAAAATTTCAAACTACAATAAAGGTATTATCTCCAGATTAAATGAAAAACCATTTAGCAGAAGAAAATATATTTTCAAATGTCTATAACTGAATTCTGAACTTGACAAAAAACTCAGATAAGAAAAATTTGAGTTGCCTAACACCTAAGGGTTAACTTCTGAATCTTCCAGTAAAGCCTATTTTTCAAAATAATTGTGTCATTTATTTCACTTCAACTTCTTCATATCCCTGTAAAGTAGGTGTGTGGGCTTAATCCCACCATACAGGTAAGGTACCAGAGGAAAATAGTCTAACCTGTCTGTAGTCCCACAGCTAATTAGAAATACAGCCAGGGATGGGGATTTAGCTCAGCAGCACCATACCAGCCTAAGCACAAGGTCCTAAGTTTGGTCTCGGTACCAAAAAAAAAAAAGAAAGAAAGAAAGAAATACAGCCAGGATTAGAATTCACACCTATTGGCCTTCAAATTCTGTTTTATTGACTTTAAGATGAACTTTGATTTCCTCACACTATCTTATGTCTTACAACCTACACCACTTTACAATTCTAAATGGCAACAATTTTTTTCTTAGTAATACATAAAATACTGGTTCGTCTTATAATAATGGCATCTTAGACTCAATAACACATGGTAGGGCCAGGGATTTAGCTCAGTGGTTCTGCCACCTGCCTCACAAGCACAAGGACCCAGTTTCGATCCCCGGTACCAAAAATAAAAAATAAAAATATGGTAATACTTTCTCTACTTAAGATTAGAAATGAAATGACAATGTGTTTTGTGAATAAGGAAGCTACTTATTTCTTCTATTGTGGAAGATCATCATTTTCATTAAAAAGAAATGTAGGCTTCACTTTAAGGGTCTAGAATACAAAGAGTTGACTGGTCTAAAATTCAAGGCATTTAAATATACCTTGTGAAATGTAGTTACTTTTTTAAACGCCTAATTTTGTGTCTACTAAATCAGAGAGCATCTTGCTTAAAAAAATATTCTGAAGTAAACTAAAGTGTCAAGAGGGCCTTTTAAAAATCTTGTGGTTTTTTTTTCCCTGAAGAGGTACAAAATGCCCTTTGGCACCAATCATTTGTGGAAAATACCTTATGGAAACACCTTTTTGTTCAAAAGATTTCAAGCCAGAGCATCTCATGAAAGGAATTTCTAAGGCCATCTTTCATGAATAGTAGGTAGTATAATCTGAAAAGCATCAGGAAGATTCCTTCAAACCTAAAAGTATCAAAAAAGAATATTTTTGCAACACATGGAATTTCATCTCAGAATTTCATTCCTCTGGATTAAGAAAAGGTTTTAAAAATTTTATTGGTACACTTTTGAGATATATACAGTGATCACATTCATCATAAGGAATTTGTACCTGTACATAATATATCTTTATTCTTTTTTTCCCCATTCCCCTCCCCTCCCTTCAATCCTCCTTCCTCTTTATGTACAAAAGCTTTGTTTCCATTTTTTCCTTCTATTCTCTTGTTTTCCTTTTCCCTTCCTTCCCTTAACCTTCTCCCCTCCCTTGTTCCCCTTCCCATTTGAACATTTTCTTCCTACTTCCCAATATCTATCATCCATTTTGGTCCAAAAAAAAGTATAGTCCAAGAGGCATCTATTTACCTAAAAATATCTCAAGTTTATTTAAGAAAACAGGTTTTTTTTGTTTTTTGTGGGGTGTTTTTTTTTTTTTTTGGTACCGGGGATCGAACTCGGGTCCTTGCACTTGCACAGCAGGCAGTGAAACCACTGAGCTAAATCCCCAGCCCTAAGAAAACAGTTTTTAAAATGTGTGCTACAGTAGGTCTCTAGGACTTCACAGAAGTTATTCAGATCATCCACGCATTTTTTTCACAAGCTTCTATTTTTTAGATTTATTTTTCCACACTATAAAAACTGAAATACTGAACATGGGCATGTAAACCTGTTACAAGTCAAATTTTAAAATGCACCAACCTGCATCACAAGGTGCTTTGTACAAACCTGCTGTCTCTCAAAGTGAAGAACGTCCTAATCTTATTTTCATCATCTCTGCTGCTTCTTTCTCTAACACACTTCAACCAAGCTTCTGAACCCGCAATACCACTGAAACACCAAAAACCTCCATGTTGATAAAATATGCTGAAATGCATAATCTTCAGTGCTCTAGTCTTGGCTACTCAGGAGCTTTGGACACAGTTGGTCGATTTGCCCTGGTCCCTGAAATACTTTCATCTCTTTCCTTTCAGCACTTCACTCTGTTGGTACTTTTCGTTCCTTACCATTTCTCTTTGTTAATTCTTTTTTGTAAACTCTCAAATTTAATCAAGGATCCTCCCTTTCCACACTCACTACTTAGATGATCTCATTCAATCTCATGCCTATAATTACCATGCATACACTGACAAGCCCCAAAGTCATGTCCCCTGACTTCCCTGACTTCAGATTCCTTTAGCCTGCCTACTCAACATCCTCACTTAAGACATCTAACAAACCATGTCAAATTTAACATATCAAACCAGCATCTCCTGAACTCTATCAGTTATATGAGCCAACAAAATTCATATCCTTGAATCCTCTTTGCTTTATATGCCATGATCAACCAATCAGCAAATTCTGTTGATTCTACCATCAAAATTTACTCAAAATCTCAATGCTTCTAAGTACCCTCAATATTATCATCCTCAGCACATTTATTTTTTGCCTCAAAAGTATTATTATTTTTTTTTGGTACCAGGGATCAAACTCGGGTCCTTGCGCTTGTGCAGCAGGCAGCGAAACCACTGAGCCAAAGCCCCGGCCCCTCAAAAGTATTTTTATTACACATATAAGTCAGTATAGTCTCACTATAGTATAGTTAGTATAGTATAGTATAGTCTCACTATACTATTCTCCTGGCTGGTCTCACTGTTCCCACCCTTTGCCTTGTACCATTACATTTAATTTAGCAGCCAGTAATCCTTTTATTCTTTTTTTTTTTTTTTTTGGTACCAGGGATTGAACTCAGGACCTTGTGCTTGCAATGCAGGTGATGAAACCACTGAGCTAAATCCCCAGCCCAATCCTTTTATTCTTAAGTTCAGGAGATCTCAGTCCTGTGCTTAAAGCTTCCTCATTGTCCCGCATACTCAACATCAGTCAAACTTCTAGTTCTGGAGAGGGACAGTGGTGATGGCTGCACAACAGGTCAATGAATCATCCACTTTAAAAACAAACGGTTAAGATGGATAGTTTTATACATGTAATTTACAAAATAGAAAATAAGTCCTTATTACAACCTGCATGACCTGGCCTCTACTTAACTGTCCAACTTCATTTCAGATCTCTCTCCCATTGCCCACTGAACCCCTGCTACACTGGCCTTTCTGCTCCTCAAACACACCCAACTCATTCCTATCTTATAGCCTGATCTCACATAGGTCATTCAAAATTCAGTCTATACTTGGCATTCTCAGAAAATTCTTCCCCAACAGACTTTATTACCTAATTTTTATTTTCTATATTATACCTATTCCAACCTTGGTTATGGGCAGTCTTCCTTTTCTGAATGTAAGGTGCTAGAGAGCCAAGATTTTCGTCTATCATGCCAAACAGTATTTTCCTGGTACCTGACCAAATAAATATTGGGTAGAAGGAATAAAGGCAGTATAGACTAGCCTTTCCAAGGGATGTAAGATTTCAATAAAAGCCAGGTATGATCATACAGCTCCATGACTCTCAAACTTGAGCGTGGATTAAAATCACCAGGGGAAATGGTTAAATGATAGATTTCCAACTGTTGTTGGGGTAGTTGCTTTAGAAATAGCTCACCAAGGGGCTGGGGATTTAGCTCAGTGGTTTTGCTGCCTGCTGCACAAGCGCAAGGACCCAAGTTCAATTCCCAGTAACAAAAAAAAAGCTCATCAATCAAAAGTATTCCAGATCCTTCATGCGGCAAAGAATTAGATGAGACAAGCCAAAAATGGTGCCAAAGTTTACTTGAAAAGTGAGGGTTGATGGGGTAAAGGAAGAACTAGCTCTGTAGAGCGAACTTGGGCTGAACAAAAGCAAGCATAAAGGCAAAAATAAAAGCATACCTGTGTCTAGGACATCCAGGGTGGGCAACTATAAGGAGTCACATAGACTCCTCCTCTTTTATGCCATCCACATCTTGTGGGAGCCCTCAAGAAGTTTCACATATGGAGTCCTGGGAATTATTAGACGCTGTCCTGGGATCTGGTAATTAACAGGTCCCGATTTCCCCAGCCAGCTTTGTCATGCCCTACCTCCTATATCACAACTCTACCTCCAGAATCTCTAGGGTAGGGCCCCCAATTTAGCATTTCTAACACTTACCTAGCTCTGACATTTCTAACAAGTACCAGTACACATACTGATGCTGCTGAACTGGTGACCACACATTTAAGACCCACTTATCTAGTTAAATAAAATTCTTCCAAATAAGTTAGTACATACAACATAAAACAAACAGGGTATACCTCAACAATTCATCCTTTCAACAGTGCTACTGCAATAAAAGATACAGTTCAAAGTGGGAATAAAGGCATTTGTAGAAACACTGAAGCTTACACCTCTTTTCTACCGCTACCCATGCTTTTTTCTGCCTCATTCTAATTAGTAATAAATAAGCTAAGATTCTTACTCAGTTCAAATAGCTGGCAGAGTTCTACATGGAGCCAAGAACTATAACAGTCTCTCAAAAAAAAAAAAAAAAAGAAAGCAAAAAGCTGACTAAAATGCTAAGAACAAATTGGTCTATAATTGTAAGTTATAGTCATGCTTATCCATGATCGCTTACATGTTGCCTTATGGAAAAAGTGGTGACTAATGTTATGACAAGTTATATAACATACCAACAAATATAATAAGTTATTTTAAGGGCTAGTGAAGCCAATGCAGATGGAACATTTTCTATTTCTTTGTAAATCAGAAATTCAATTAAAAAGTGTCTCCTCTAAATGCAAATGGCTAAGCAACCCTTGATATCTTCATTAAGCCTGTAAACACTTAAGGCTGGAACAATTTCCAGAGGATTTTTTTTTTAAGTAGGAAGATATTTATTGATAGAAAAGCTCCTGAGGGGCAGGAGGGGTCCCGAGCGGGTAGCATCCAGAGTATCTTTGAGGCTACCTTGAGACTACTCTTCAAGACACTCAACATTTTTAACTACTTGGCTAAAGGAACTCAAAATCCTATTTCAGTCCTATTAATACTCACTGCTAATTTAGAATACATAATGATTCTGAAAATACCATATTGAGCCAATTTTCCAGTATGGATCCAAGTTTTCCCAGAACCCTTTGTGATATATTCTAACATATTACCAAGGAAATGTCCTGGTTCTGCCTTAATATGCCATTATTAATTGCCTCATATCCCTATATACTTAGAAGATCTGGAAACATGCCCACCTGTCAAGCCTATGTTTTTGTCACCTACCACCACCTTCTGCAGTCTTGCAGCCTAAGATCCAGCCATACAGAGCCACTTATCACTCTCTAAACAAACCATGCTCCAATTGTCTGATAATAAAACCTTACTATCACCTCTTAGTGTTTCCTGTGCCAGGTATGATCCTAAGTACTTTACATGCCTTATCTCAATTAATCCTCAACATTTGAAAAGTAATATTAGCCCCAGACTATAGATGAGGACTCTGAAGCTCAAAGAGAACAAACTAGCTGAAGACAAAGAGAGGAAGCGGTAGAATGAGTATGAAAATAACTCCAAAGGCACCAACCACTTCCCTGTTCTACATTATTCAGAGGCTTTTCTGTAAGGAACAGTCCTTCCAGACTTTTTCACTTGGTAAGTTCATTCATCAAGCCTCAGCTCTGGCACTGCCTCCTCTCTGGGAAGCTTTCTCTATCCCCTAACACACACACACACACACACACACACACACACACACCCACACCCACCCACCAGCCTGGGTTAAGTGTCCCTCCTCTACACCCCCAGTACACCATGTTCTTCCCACTCTGTGGACTCTAACCACATTCAACCTTTGGGCAATTATGGTTACCTGGGGAGCTTTTAAAAATCCTGATCCCTAGGTTATACCCCAGACCAATTAAATCAGAATCCCTAGGCATCGGTATTTTTTGTAAAAACTCAATGTACTCCAAAGTACAGACAAGACTGAAAACGAGTAGTGTGTCTCTGATTAAGTGTCTGCCTTCCCTACCAGACTGGTAGCTCCTT